ACATTCAAAACCTTCAAAACCTCATTACTCTGAAATTTTTAATGTAAATGTTAAGTGTAAGTGAAAAGTTAACAGGTCTTTCCTTTCATGATGCTACATATGCTGGGGTGTGAATTTGATAGGTGCTTGAAATTAAATAAATAGTGCTTTAAAAAGTCCTTGAAAGTCCTTGAATCTGGTGTTCATGAAAGAGTGGGAACCCTGCCAACCCCTCCGAGCGCGATTTGAACATTAGTAATTTTATGTTCGTCGGCACTTTTTCCCTCTTCAAGCACTGGTTATTACGCCTGTATAATGAAATTCGCTTAACTAACATTAATTGGACTGCAAGTTTTAAAAATAATTAAAAAAAATAAATAAAAAATGCCAACCTCCCTCCCCCTTGAAATTACGTCTGTCTCTATATCTCTTCCATAACAAATTGGCAAAGTTTGAACTGGCATTAGGTTCTGCGTACATATAGTTAGCAGTGCCTGATTTCCTACAATTAAGTCCTATGGTTTTCACATTTCCGAAGCTGTTTCACTCGGATGTACACTTAGGGAAAAAAGTTTCACAACTTCTGTTTCATGACAGTTTTAATCATCTTTCTAAATTAAAGCACTGTTATTGAAGCTGATAGGGATTATTGATAGGTACTCACTGATAGGGATTCACAATTGACACAGATAGGGTTCAGTACTGTAGATATAATACATTTCTCAATATATTTCTTTGTATTTTTGTAGATTGTCTAACATTTCATATATTTACATATTTTTTCTCTCTCCTTACAGATAAGTTCTGTGAGCGGCTAAAATCAAGGTCAGAGTGAAAGGGTGAGAGTTGCACAATGTAAAGATGTTCACAGACTATACTTGTAATAGTTGTGGTGTTTCTGTAAAAACTCTAAAAGGTTATGTACAACATCAAGGGCTACACAGAAATGAGGCACATTACCTATTGGCATGTTGCATAGCAGGTTGCAAGTTACGCTTCAGAAATTACAATGCGTTTAAAAGTCATGTTTACTGTCATAACGGCAGTTATCTTCTGCGTCACAGTCTCTGCAGGGACCCTTTTCATGTCAAGTTACTAACTGTCAGAAACAGTTGATTGACCTTTCAGATCTTTTGGGTCACCTGAAATTTCACATTTCAAAAAAAGAGGAGGTGCATTGTCCCTTCAAAAACTGTGATCGCTCATTTTCAGTGAAATCGTCTTTCACGTCCCACCTATCTAGGAAGCACAAATACTCAACAGCTTTGCATGTCTCTGGTGTATACTGTCTTCCCTCATTTCCTAGTGGGTCTCAGTTCTCTGTTGCTGAAAGCCACTCAGATGAAGTGGCAGATGATGATGGACCTGAGGAGGATATACTGGACCCTGCACAAATGAAAAATGTATACATGAGAAATCTGTCCATGTTTTACATGAAGTTGCCAGGCGAAGCACCTGATCCCTTCCTCCACAGTACAGTTAATCGTAGAAGAGATCAATAAGCTCAGTGGATTGTGTCGGCAGTACACAAAGAATCAACTCAGAGCATCTCTTCAAGCAAAAACTAAACTCTCTGAGACAGAAATTGAAGATGTTCTGAAAACTCTAGATGACATGGATATTCATGGGTCATGCAGCTCTGCTATTTCCACAGAGTCCAAGAGAAAACAGTACTTTGAGGAACATTTTCCCTATGTGCATCCAAAATGCATTTTTTTGGGGACTGGTGAAAACAGAAAGGAGCGGCATGCCCAGTATATTCCCATAAAAGACACATTAACAGCTCTACTGAAAGATCCTGCTGTGTGGGAAGAATGTTGTACATCTGGGAATGAGAGTACACCTCTTATTTTAAATGATGTGTGTGATGGATCGGTATTCAAATCCAATCGATTATTTTCTGAGCCAGGCATCACTTTAAAAGTGATCCTTTATCAGGATGCATTCGAGTTGGTTAATCCCCTTGGATCTGCAAAAAAAAAACACAAGATGCTTGGGGTGTACTTTACCCTAGCAAACTTTGATCCTTTTCATCGATCCACCATTGACAACATGCAGCTTTTGCTGTTGTGCCGAGAAGCTGATTTCAAAACATTTGGCCACGAAAAGGTGTTCTCTCCACTGATATCTGATCTTAGGGAACTGGAAACAAATGGATTGACCATACATGGAAACAATGTGAAGGCAACAGTCTTTTGCATCACAGGCGATAATTTGGGTTCTCATAATACCGGTGGTTTCACAGAAAACTTTGGTACATCTCAATATTTTTGCAGATACTGTCATGTGACAAGAAGTCACCTGGACAATTTGGAGCACCATGCTCCGATCCGCAGAGTTCAAGACTACATTGACAATATTGAAGAGTTGCAGAATGATGATGCACATGAAGTCAGAGGTTTGAAGTTTGACTCCGTCTTTAATTCTCTGGCTTTTTTCCATGTCTGCCAGCCAGGCCTGCCACCGTGCATTGGCCATGATTTGTTTGAGGGTGTAGTGGCATACGACCTTGCCATTTACATCAAATACTTTGTCAAGGTGAAGAAATTCTTCACATATTCAGAACTTAATCGTAGGATCAGGCAGTTTACCTACCAAGGATCTGACAGTAATTCTACACCCTCTGAAGTTTCTGAAAAGGGTGCAAAATTAGTTGGCCAGGCAACAGAAAACTGGTGTTTGCTAAGGCTTCTATCAGTTATAATTGAGGAGAAGATCGCAGATACAGAGGATCCAGTTTGGCAACTTGTTGTCCAGCTGAAAGAGGTAGTGGAGTCGATTTGTGCCCCCACCATATCAGAACCTCAGATTGCATTGCTCAATGTTCAGATCTGTGACTATCTAGAGGCAAGGAAAGAAATGTTTCCTGCACACAAACTAAAACCAAAGCATCATTTCCTCACTCACTATCCTGCATTGATCCTGAAATTTGGCCCACTAATGCGGTTGTGGACAATGCGCTTTGAAAGCAAACATTCCTTCTTTAAAAGATGTGCGCGAAGAACACAAAATTTCAAAAACATATGTCAGACACTTGCCAGGAACCACCAGCTTCTGCAAGCATACCTTCATTCAGGCTAATTTTTTGCACCCTTATTGGAGGTCAAGAACTCCACTCCTTTCCATTTAGAACTGTACTGCAATGCGCACTGCAGTAGGAACAACCTTGGACAAGGAACCCAATATTGTGGCATCTACAGAGTTGAAGTGGAAAGGGACTCTGTATAAAAAGGGGTTCTTTCTGTGTCTAAGCCAAGGTGAGGCAATTTAATTCAGTCAAATTGAGCTCATGCTGGTGAAGGAAGAGAAGCATGTGTACTTTATTGTTACTCCTCATAATGTGTCCTACTTGCCGGAGTTTGGACTATATGAAGTGAAGGAGGCAAGGCAGAGCATGCAGTACTGAAAAACAGAGCTCAAACTGGATTATTATCCATTGCCTGCATATAAGCTTTTTGGGACAAATGTCATTTCACTGAAACAAAGCATTGTTGATAATGAAAAAGAATGTAAAGGTGAATATACACCAAGGGTGTCCAG